GGGGAAGGCGGGAGCAGCAGAGCGCATGCTCCTCTCGTCCCTAGCGCTGCTATCGGACAGGTGGCGCGCTGGTATTGGAGGAAGTTGCTGGACTGCGAGAATCGGAGCCGCATCCTCTCTTATTGGTAGCGCCCACACTTATTCTCGTCCGGCGGTTGTTGAACGGATTTTTGTGGCATCTCGCTGTTACGCGGGGCCGTCAGCGTGGCCTGTCGCCATTCGCCGCGCTTTATTCGTCTTCGAGTCAGAGTGGGGGCTGAAGCAGCAGCTACAACGCATCCTTGATGCAGGAGGACTCGCTCTAAGCCAGAAGCCAGCTAAAGCCCGGCGCTTATTGGTGGACTCAGAAGACCGGGGGGGAGGGGGGAGCAGCAGAGCGCATGCTCCTCTCGTCCCTAGCGCTGCTATCGAACAGGTGGCGCGCTGATATTGGAGGATGTTGCTGGATTGCGAAAATCGGAGCCGCATCCTCGCTTATTGGTAGCGCCCACGCTTATTCTCGTCCGGCGGTTGCTGGACGGGTTATTGCCGCAGCGCGCCGCGGGTGGTCACTGGCTGAAGCAGCGCTTATTCCTCATGGCCACGTGATTGACGCCACAGAGTAGTATTTTTTTTCCTATGAGCATTGGTGTTGCCGCAGCTTCACGCTTTCCCGCACTTTCCATTTGTTGACGTGAGCAGACGCGCGCGTAGGTAAGGGGATTGCAAAGCCTCAAGGCGATCCGTTTCGTCGTGGTACTGCTTGGAACTGCAGCTTCTGCTATCGTCTGCCAACTGTTGGCCCTCACTCCGACCTCGCTGAGTGCTGCAAGCCCTCTGCTGTTGTCGCGCTGGACTCCGTAATTGTGCTTCTGAAAGAACTGGCATTCATCACTTGTGTGTTTTGAGAGTGGAGGAGAATCGAGATCGCTGGCGCATGTGGGGGCGCGTCGGGCATAGTTGGCTTGGTGGGTGTGGAATGAGCTGGATGGTCGCAACGAAGGGATGATCTGGGCCGTCCAAACGTGAGAGTGAGGCAACAGCACGCTGCAACTGATGGTTGCAGCGAGGAGGTTTCACATGCGACTCGGCAGGTGTGGGTTGCGCCAGGTTGTCTCGAGTCTCGACTCGCCCTCACTTTCTACACTACAGTTCCTGAGAGAATTGCCGCGGCGCGGGCTTTGCCCTCGTGATTTTCTTTCATCGCGGTCTATTTTTTGTATACCCCAAAGCGACGCGGATCCACCTTCTATCCCGAGCGGTACGCGCTCCCGAGATTTCGCTTCAATTAAGTCGTGTACATGTAAGTGTACGGTCATCTCGGATGTTTTTGGAAGGAACCCAACCGCGAGCGCCCAAAATTGTGGGAACCAAACCAGTGTAGTGCTGGCTTGCCAAGCCTACGTGTGGCTTTTCGGCGTTTAGGCTCGACATCGACGGGGCAGGTACCAAAGCCGCAGCGCGAGCATGGTATAACGCTAGACACGTCAGAATTAGCAAAATCAAATCCAGCTCAGAATGGAACCAATCGTGGTGTCACACGTTACCATATCGATCGATAACAACTCGAGGTTAAAAAACGAGTGTCGATGAACGCCGATTTCCGTTAATATATAAGATAAAAATGAATGGATAATACAAATAGAACTGTATAAGAATTTACTTCTGCTAACTAATATTGGTATATGTTAATAGCTAGTTTCTTCACAGTTCCAATACATGTTTTTTCTTGTGAAGTATTTAAACAAAGTAATGAAGATAAAACAACGTATCGTTCTGACTATCAAACGATTATTAAATTATACTATCAAATGTACACTGCATGCATATACATCCCATTGAAGATTTGAATTTACAAAGTAGAAAATTATGCATGAGCTTACATTACCCTTTACATTACCCTACATTACAGCATATGCTTAGAACATCGTCAAACAATTGCAGTACAAGAGATAAGCATAGCAATTGATTTTTACTGTCTGTAAATATTTAATCAGGTGGGTAATGTTATGGTCTCTCACAAGGCATAACAACGCCAATTGGGCATGGCAGAAATACGTAATGCAGGCACAACTGACCATACATAATACATTGAGATAACAGTGTCTGTAACAAGGTTGATTATGCTTGTGAAAAGGTTGGCTAAATTTTACAAAGTGTAAAAATGCTGGAAAAGGCAGGATTCTTTCCGTTTACTTAATATGATGATCATGCCTCAATGCACCAATACAATGAATAGATAAGTAAAAATAAAGTTTTTCAAACAAAAGAACAAACCTAAGTACAGTGTTAATGTCTTCAACAATAAACAAATTACTTAACATACAAGATCACAATATGTGCATTTCTCCCCCAAAAACCATGGAGTTGCAGATTTTTGCAAAAGAGTGATCAACGGTTTTTTCACAGTACAACAAAATGGAACTGAGTGTTATAATATATTGCTATTTATGAACTTGTTTTTTTAATATCTCTAGTTGGGTGCTGTTTACTTTGTTAAAAATACTCCCTCCTAATATGTAGTTACAATCTACTGATGATTTCTTCGTTGTAAAACGGTCGCTGTATATAGTATCGAGCACACAAAGAATGCATTTTTACCACATCAGCACGCACTTGAACATCTTCACTTCGATAGTATGACGCGGCGCTAAATCATTGGTTGATACGTTCTCAAAGTGTTACGATCAGTTTTTTAACACGGCTTCAAATCTTCCGCGTGGCAAGAGCTGGAAGGAAACGACGGGCCAACATCATAAACATGCAACTTAGTATGGTGACCCTATTCAATGGTATGCAAAAGCGTCTGACCTCAGTCTAAGAGTTATTGACATTCGGCCCTAATAGCGCGTTTGTTTTTAATGCAAAAACTGATCCCTACCGCGCTTTCCTTCGCACTAAGACGTAATTTCTTCGGGCCAAGAAAAAAATAAAACCCAATCGGAAGGGGATGCGTCAGGGAGGCATCAACCCTAAAAACAATGTCATTTCCCGTGTTTAGGGTTGATCCCTCCCAGAAATGCGTCCAGGTCCCTAGGGGTTTTATTGTTTTTCTGCCCTGCCCTAGCAATTCCCCGTGGCAATATATTGGTCCAATATATTGTTATCGAAATCGACCCCACATACTTTCCATTCCAGTGGACATTTCGTGCGCATTTAACGGAAAATAATGGCCGGCAGGAATATTTGTTAGGCGCCGAACGAGGCGCGGTAAGAACGACGAAGATACGAAATAAAAATCGCAACCGATTCTATCACATATTTCTTCATTTTTTCTGCTGCATCCGCTGTTACACAGTGTTTTGAGTGGCGCTACCAGACAATTTTGCGCAGCAGAACTAGGGTATCGACGGTTTTGCATACCATTGAATAGGGTTACCATACTAATTTGCATGTCTATGATGTTGGCCCAGGAAACGACTGAGTGCCTGACGGCTACGTGCCACATGGGCGCAGCACTACAGTAAATGAGATCTGCGCGGTGTGAAAATCAGTGCAGTAAATATCATCAAACCAATCGCATTGCGACACGCCTAAGCCCACACGACTGTACGGTCTGATACAGTGATCCGCAGCACTTTGTCGAGCCTGTTCGCGCTCGAACCTGTCCGAACCTGTTATCCACACTTTGAGGAACGAAATGACCAATCGGCTAACACTGCGTGGCAGTTATGTTCGATGTCAACCAGCAAACTGCCCACCGACACATTGGAACCCCCAAAAAAAAAACCATTATGGTGTTTAAATGAAGCGAAATCTCCGGAGCGCGTACCGCGCGGGATAGAAGGTGGCGTGTGTGAGTTTCGGGTTGTGAAAAAATTTGAGCGCGATAAGAAAAATTCACGAGACCAAAGCCCGCGGCGCGGCAATTCTCTCACAGTTCCTGCTGCCAGTCATCACCGCACTCATGTGGAGGTTGCTGAAGGCAAATGGTGGTTACCAGATTTTGGTGACGGACAGTCCAGTTACCCGATACATCACTTTTTGGGAATTTTCTGGTTCGCATAACCGATGGGAACACCGGGCTTGCCCTAATCGTGAAAGGCAAATTTAGTTCCGCGAACTGAGCGAGTTTTATAGTTCTTGAAGCACCACGCCATCGACGTCACTTGGGAGGTTGCGGCCTGGTTTGCGAAGTCCACGTAGTCTGGTCGACTGTGATTCGACTGTTCTTGTAACACATACACTTCGCAAAAAGCATCCATCACACAGGCATCATCTCTTCGTTGCGCTTCACGCTCGTTTTTCTCACACTCACACGTGTCGGACTCCGACTCCATTCCCTTGTATCTCGCGCCGCTCACCTTCTGCATTTCACGCACGCGTCACCTTCAATGCACGCACACATTCCAAACCCGAATTGAGCAATTTGCCGTCTGAGGCGCTTTCGACGGCCACGACCATGGAGTCTCCCCTTTTCTTGCCCCACCAAACTCTGTTCACCCAAACCCCCAGTTCTGCACTGATCGCCGCGGTAATCTAAAAACTCGCACCCATTTCGGCACTTCCAAGAAGGCACTCCCAGGGTAGGCATTTTCAAGAAATGTCTGAACTTGCTCGATCCGTAGACGTAAATGGCGGTCCAGTAAAGGAGTGAGTCAGTGATTCATCCAGCCATCCATCAGTGCGCGACACCCAGCGGTCAGTGACGAGCTCCACAGCGTGTGAAATTGGTGGCTCGTCCGGTCTGTATCAGCTCCGCCGCATTTTGCCTCAGCTCACTCTTGCTGAATTCGAGGGAACAGATCATTCACTGCCTTCCGCTCAGCGAGCTGGGTGCAGCCATGGATGAACCTACTGAGACCGTGACAGCACAGCCCAGCGCGACGGGTAGTGCCGGCACGATGGAAGAGCTGCCAATGGAGACGATATCGCTGTCGGATAAGGTCGACGGGCAAGGCGCGTCTGCGACGGGCGACGATGATGGCGACGACGACGGCGACTCGCAGGCGACGTCGCAGCTGACAGCGGAGAAGCAGCCGACGGAAGCGAGCGATTTCGACGACAAGTCGGACGACGAAATGGAGGCGACGAAGGCGGGGGAGAGGGTGCTGAGCGCGGAAGAAGTGGAGCGCGTTCGAATGATGCTGACGATCGTGGGCGACCGCGAGCGACGGGAACTGGAGGCCAAGTATCCCGAGCTGAAGCAGCAACCGCTGTCGCGCGACGCGAGCAACAAGGAGGAGGGCGACGACGACGACGACTCGCCGCCGAGGCTCATCGTCCCAGTCGGAAAGGATCTGGTACGCCCCGCTGCTCCGCGCTTGCTCGCCTCCGCTTGCGCGTCCGCCGCTCGCCGTCGCATCTGATCGCATCCGAGTCTCGTCTTGACATACCCCAGCGTCCCGTTTCCATTCACTGAATCCCCTTGCCATTTCTCATGTGTTAATCTGGTTTTCTTTCGATTCCCTTCCGCAACTCAACCCTTGCTGTCGTCGCACCTCCCCTGCGACGCAAAATCAGCTGGAGGCGACGCTGGGCGACAATCCCTTCATGCTCGACTTCGGGATTCGCAGCTGCGCCTTCTCCTACAGCCACTTCGTCGGCATGCGACGAATCAAAGCCTTCTCCGAACCCGACGCCTCCGCGCGCTCGTACATCGCGTCCACGTCAGCAAAGATTCGCGGCAACGCGGTGGCGATTAAAGACAAGCTCGAGGAGAATTGGCCGAAGCTGCAGGCGTCGCTCGCAGCCGCCATCGGCGAGTCACTGACTGCCACGTGGCAGTGGGTGAAGGAGCACAAACCGACGGGTTTGCCCATTCCGGGCGCGCCGAAACCGGAAGGGGGAGCTGCGGAGAAGGGGGAGGGGGAGGGGGAGGGGAACGCGGGGAAGGAGAACGGAGTAACCGGGGGGGCGGAGGGTGAAGGACGGGAAGCAGCAGCGGAGGGGAAGGTCGGGAAGGCAGAAAGCGGGGACGCAGCGAGAGAGGGGGCGGAAGCGAGAAGCACAGAAGGCGCAGAGGAGGTTACGATCGTTACAGATGAAGGGGAAGGGGAGACGAAAGCGGAAGAAGTGAAACAAGGAGAAGGAGCGAGCGAAGATAGTCGCGTAGAGGAGAGAAAGGAGGAAGTGTTGGACGAGAGGGAGAGGGCGAGGCGGGCCAAAGAGGAGGAGCGGCAGGTGAAGGAGGAGGCGCAGCGGAAGGAGGAGGAGGCGCGGCGGGAGCTGGAGGCGCTGGTGGCGCGCATGGAGAAGTGGGAGATCCTCTTCCGCAACCCCTCCCTCGCTAGCGCCCCCGCGCAGTCCCTCCAGTTCGCCTGCAACGCCGCAGGGTGAGCCGGGCGGGGGGAGGCGCACTGAGGGGAGGTGTGCTGAGGGGAGGGGAATGGGGGGATCGCAACAGTCTGGGGAGCGTGAGACGAGGGGCTGTAAAGGGGGTTTTATTGAGAGGAGAAGAGGAGAGGTGTGGCTGTGTCTTGAGAGCTGCCCACGCAATGCAGCCACGCACGAAAATGTGCTCTGTTTCCCCGGCCCCTACCAGGTCCCCCACCCCCAACCATGCGCCCCACCCCCAACCATTCCCCCACCCCCAACCATGCCCTCCATCCCCTTTCTTCCCCCCCGTCCCGCCGTCCCCCCTCGCCTTCAGCGCAGCCTGGCTCTGGTCCACCAGAAGCTCGCCACGTGGCAGCAGGTGGTGGTCTCGCCCGCCGTGCTGCTGGACGCCTCGCTGGCCGTGATTGTAGCGAACGGAGGAACAGTGCCCGAGAACAAGGGCTACCAGCCGTCCTTCCCGTTAGAAGCACAGAAGAGCGACCGGGGAGCGGGGAAAGGGGACGAGAGTGCGGGGAAGGAGGGGCAGGAAGGCGAGGGGCAGGGGAGTGCGATACGGTGGGGATCGGCGGTGATCAGAGGGCACTACCTGCCCAAGAGAATAGGGGAGTCGCTGCTGCTGTCACCACAGAACTTCATGGCGGTGAGTGAAGCATTGCGCTATGCCTGGTCAAACGGGGGCCCATACCACGTGGCAGTGTCTCCCGATCCCCGTAATCCATCTCCTCTGTGCCTACCCTTGCTCCCTCCATACCTCATGCCCAATCCAACCCCATTCCTCCCCTCTCCACCTTTCTTCCCGGCATGTCAGCTGGCGGTGACTCTGCCTGCTCGCCTGCGCACGTCCCCCTGGAGATTGCTGTATTCCACGGCCAGGGATGGCATCAGGTGATTACGCAGGTGGCGTCAGGTGAGGTGACAAGGTGGCATTCTTCATGCTCTCCAGTAACGCCATGTTCGCAGTCGGGGGCGGGTGAGTGTGAGGGTAGTAGGCAGTCATGACCATACCTCACAAGTGGCATAAGGTTAGTTCGCTTGAGGTGATTTTACCAATGTTTACCAAATGAGGCCCCACACCACCATGCGTCCGCCCATTGATCATGAACATGGCTAGCACCTCCATGCCTCTCCATGTGCTCATGCTCTTCGTCTCTCTTCTGCTGTACAATATGTCTCATGTTTTATTGTATGCATGGTGCAGCATGGCAACACTGTTTCGGAAGATCAAGGGCAAGGGCGCATGTCTGCTGGTCGTGCGTGACTCGAATAAATACGTGAGTGCCCAACTGCCTCATGGCTCAGCCAAGTTACCAAACCCATGCCCGAACTACCTAGCCCATCGCCGAGTCACAAAGTTTGTCTCTTTCCTTGCTGGCACCACTTCCTAATCCCCTTGTGTCTCGTGTGCGCATGTGCATTCGTGCGTGTGTGCATGGGTGCGTGTGTGCATGGGTGCACACATGAGAGCAGGTGTTTGGGTGTTTCACCAACGAGGAGTGGCGCCCCATGGACCGCTACTACGGCAATGGGGAGTGCTTCGTCTTCCAGGTACCCATCTACCCCATGCGCCTCCATCCAGCCTTCTTGCCCTGGCTACCTTCCTGCCTTGCTCCACCTAATCTGCCCTCTCCTGCTGCCTGCACTCTTCTGCGCTGCTCCTTAAGTGGTAGTGCATTCTCGCCGAGACCTCTCTGCCAGCTCCCACCATGCCCTCCCACCCTCCTCCTCCCTCCCTCACGCTCTCCGCCTCTGTCCTCCCCTCTTCCACCCTCTCCCCCCACCAGGTGCAGCCGGAGTGTGTGGCGTACAGGTGGGCGCGCACCAACAGCTACTTCATGCTCTCCAGCAATGCCATGCTCGCCGTGGGGGGCGGGTGAGTGGGGTTGACGGGAGAGGTGGGGGAGAGTTCGTGGGTGGTAGATAGGAGATGGTGCTACACTCTAGTTCATTCGGTTTTACCTGGTTGCTTTGAAAGAAAGCCGTTGGCACCTGGTGCTATGGTTTACTCGCATGTTTCTCTGCGTTCTCCTGTTTCCCTACTCTATGCCCTGTACCCCAACTGTACCCTTTTGCCCGTACATACCCCATACCCCACACCACCATACCTCACACTACGCTATGTACAGCAACCACCACAGCCTGCTGCTCTACGCTGATCTCCTCACAGGCGCCAGTGCACCGTGTGACACCTTTGGCAGCGCCATCCTTGCCAGGTACTGCCATGCCATGCCATGCCATGCCATGCCATGCCATGCCATGCCATGCCATGCCATGCCTTGCCATGCCATGCCTTGCCGTGCCTTGCCATGCCATGCCATGCCATGCCATGCCTTGCCGTGCCGTGCCATGCCATGCCTTGCCATGCCATGGCTTGCTATTCCTTTCAGCATTCTCCTCTTAGATGTAGCCTTCTCTGTCCTCATACGCTGCACCATCTTCCATGCTTCACACCTCCTCAAACTGCTTATACATGGCGTTGCCATGTCCCCCTTCCCCATGTCCCCCTTCCCCATGTCCCCCTTCCCCATGTCCCCCTTCCCCATGTCCCCCTTCCCCATGTCCCCCTTCCCCATGTCCCCCTTCCCCATGTCCCCCTTCCCCATGTCCCCCTTCCCCATGGCTCCCCTCTCTCCCTGCTCTCTGTTTGCCTCCCCGTGCTGCCTTACCAGCTCGGAGGAGTTTGAGGTGGCACAGGTGGAGGTGTGGGGCTTTAAGTGACCCCACGCCCATTCCTCAGCTCTCACCGTTCTCGCAGCACCACTTGCACCCAAGACATCGAGTGCGCATTCCTAAACGCATCACATAGGCTGCAGCCTCTCGTTAGCTGCGACGGGGTTGGTGATGTGTTTTCTCAATTCGAATCAGCTCGCTCGATGCAGCATCTCTGCATCTGAAGCATTTTGTGGCTTCTCCCACACGAGCAAAACACAATGTATTTTGTGTCGTGAGGCATCTTGTTCTCTCATAGGGTATGTATTGCTTACTGAATACTTCTGAGATGACTTCTCTGCATGAGAAACATACTACCAGCAAAGTGCGTCACATAGAGTTGCCTATTGCAAAAAGGGTTCTGAAAGCACGAGGTTGTGTAGCGAGGCCACCAGCGGCTCCATACCCGATATAGGATGCTGGCCATGGAGATTTGAGATTTGAAACTCCCCTGACAATTGTGAGGGGCACATTTTCACTGACGCACCTCCAGCAAGCACCATGCACAAGGCCACGTGCGCATTCGAATTCTTTTCTCTCCCACTCGCCAACCATTCTAATCATCCAACCTTCCTGCGCCCCGATCGCCTTGCTCTTGCCGCCATGCTCGCTCGAATGAGGGCCCTGGCGCATTCGCGCTGCAATTACAACAGGGCGGGTGTGATTTGCCTGTCCCCAGCGTCTCACTGTCTCCCGCCCCTTATTCCTCGCGCCCTTCTTCATCGCAACCTTCGCCCGTCTCGTTGCGCGATCGATTTCTATCACCCTCTAGCGATAAGCGCGCTCGAATCATCTCGCTGCGCCCCACGCGGCCATGTCGCAGTCGCGCGCTGCTCTTCTTATCTCCCTCCCCTCCGATCACATCTCTTACCCCTCGTACTCCGATCTCCTGCCGCCCCTGCCGCCAAATCCGCCGTCATCCCCGTTACTGCTCTCCTCGAATCTCGTTAAGATCTTTCATTGGTCAGACATGGTGGATTTGATTCCGCCATTGGCGTGGCTGCACATAACGGTGGGCGTCGTAGGCGTGCTGATCATGACCTACACCTTCATGATGCGCAAGCTGAAAGAGGATCTGCTTATATCGGAGACGTTCGCGGCGCTGGTGGTGGGCGTGCTGCTGGGGCCGCACTGCATCCGCGTCTTGGACCCGCACGGCGCCTTGGGGGAAGAAACGGCGCTCGCCGTGCTGCAAGAGGTGAGCGCTCCGCTCACTCCCCCTTCCCCCATGCCTTGATCCCTTCCGTCAGCCGGAACACCAGCAGCTTCCGCCTTCATCCCACTCATATCATATCCCAACCAATCCCCCTCCCTCTCTCTCCCCCAGCTCTCCCGCCTGGTCCTGGCGGTGCAGCTGGTGTCAGCGGGCCTGGGCCTGCCTCTCAAGTACGTGGAGCGGCAGTGGCGGACGCTGGTCGTGCTGCTGGGTCCCACCATGCTGGCCACGTTGGGCATCTCCTTCGCCCTCGCGCTCGCACTGCTGCCACACGCGGGCGTGGGGTGGCAGACGTGCCTGCTGGTGGCGGCGTGCCTCACGCCCACGGACCCAGTGCTCGCCTCCACCGTCCTGCAGGGCCGCTTCGCTGAGATGTGCGTCCGCAGGGGTGGGTAGGGGCCTGGTAGGTTGGTTGGATGGGGTAGCGTGTGGCGCGGCAGACGTGCCTGGTTGGATGGGGTAGCGTGTGGCGCGGCAGACGTGCCTGGTTGCTCACTCATCCACTGCTACCCTCCACCGTTCTGCAGGGCCGCTTTGCTGAAATGTGCGTGCTCCGCCATGGGCGTGTGGTGGGGTGGGGTAGTGTAGTGTAGGGTGGGGTGGGGTGGGTACGGTGGGGTGGGGTGGGGTGGGGTGGGTGCATGCAATCCCACGTCAATGCAGCGACCGTGGCACCCCTTTCTCTGCCAACCCTTGCATCCACCTCCGTCTCCCTGCCCCTCTCTCACGCATTGTCTCCCTCCCCTCCCCTCCCCTCCCCTCCACCCCTCCCACCAGGCACCTGCCAGCGCCGCTGCGCTTCATGCTGCAGGCGGAGAGCGGGGCAAACGACGGCATGGCCCTGCCGTACGTGTCACTTCCCATCGCACTGCTGCTGCAGCCCACTCTCAAGCTCGCGCTCACCAACTGGCTCGCTGTCTCCTGCGCCTACCAGGTGTGCTTTCAGGAATATAAATTCTTGTTTTGACTCAACTCAAAGCTCACCTCTGCTGCATCGCTTCTGTTTCGATTCTCTTGCACCTACTAACACTCCCACTCCTGTGACCTGCCCTGCCCTGCCCTGCCCAGGTGGGCTTGGCAATAGCAGCGGGCATGCTGTACGGGCTGATAGCGCGCGGCCTGCTGCTGCTGGGCGACCGCTACGGGCTCATAGACGAGCCGTCCTTCCTCGCTCACATCATCGGCCTCGCCCTCGGCGCCCTGGGGCTTGTTCGGGCCGTCGGTGCGTCACTCTGATTCTTTGCGCTTTTCTGGGAGGCATCATATGGTGGCTAGCATGGTCTCAACTTAGGCCGCTCATTTAAAAGAATCAATGCCTTGCCGCAATCTGCCAACTTTCCCCCCTCCGCTTTTCTCACCCTGTCTCTGTGCATGCACGCATGCGCCATGCAGGTGCGAGCGGGGTGCTGGCTGTGTTCGTGGCAACAATCGCCTTCTCAAGCCGGGAACCCACAGCGGAGGAGGGCCGGTACGACGCGATAAACGGCATAGAGATCATCGTCACCATCACCTACTTCACCTACTTTGGCGCCTTCCTCCCTTTCGCCGCCTGGCGCGCCCTCGGCATCCCCCGCCTGCTGCTCTTCAGCGCACTCGTCCTGCTGCTGCGCCGCCTGCCCGTGCTGCTCGCGCTCGCTCCCTGCCTGCCGGAGCTGCACCGGCAGGTGGGGTCCAAGCGAGCGGTGTACTGTCAAGCGGGGTTTGCGGGGTTCTTTGGGCCGATAGGGGTGGGAGCTGTGCTGTATGCGGCACAGGCGTGTGAGGAGCTGGGGGGGGATGCGACGGCAGCGCACGTGGTGCTGTTTGTGGTGGTGGCATCGGTGGTGGTGCATGGGGTGACTGCTGTGCCCTTCTCTCGCCTGCTGTCGTCATGTATAAAGCGAGCCGAGGAGGAGCACAGGTTGCAGCAGCAACAGCAAGAGCAGCAAGAGCAGGTGGAGCAGCAGCAGCGGGCGTTCGCTGCACTGCCGTCAGTGGCAGCGTCACCTGCAATGGACTCAAGTAGTGAATGCTAGTGGATTGATTGGCAGACATAACCATACGCTTGTTGGATATACGGTACCTGATTCTTGAAATTGTAACAATAAATGCATGAATCAATCCTAACGGTTCTTCTTTGTACCGGTTTCCTGGGATACAAGCCCAGCCACTTAATTCGTTCCGAAAGCTGTTGAGAGTAGTATAATATGGTACAGGTAAGACATTTGCAATGACAGTGTCAAAAGAGTGTCACAACAAGTTGATCCCTTCACTTCACATCACAAGCTGCTCCAGGTGGCTTGCGTTGTCACCGCAGAACCTACGGTATTGGCCTGGTGTGACAGTAGTGGGCGGGTGTGATAGGTGGTGGTTTCGAGATTGAGTTGGGTGGTGTGAGTCTGGTGAGAGTCGGTGGTGCGCATATGAGTGAGTGGAAGTGCAGCGGACGCTCTTCATTCGCGAGCGCCAATGAGCGATGATGCTCGCAACCCTCCCACGCCCTTGCTGGCTTGGTAGTAGGCCTAGACAAGCGCAGCCACGTGATCCGGTGGAAGAAAAACGCTCGGAACGAGTGCTTCCACCCCAGAACGCGCTAGGATCCGCACATATGCAGGAAGTGCAGCGGACGCTCTTCATTCTCAAGCGCCGTTGACCAATGATGCTCGCAACCCTTACACGCACTTGCTGGCTTGGAAATAGGCCAAGACAAGCGCGGCCACGTGACCCGGTGGAAGAAAAGCGCTCATTGCGAGCGCTTCTAGCCTCAAAACGCGCTAGGATCCGCACATGTGCAGGAAGTGCAGCGGGCGCTCTTCATTCTCAAGCGCCGATGACCAATGATGCTCGCAACCCTTCCACGCCCTTACTGGCTTGGCAATAGGCCCAGATAAGCGCAGCCACATGACCCGGTGGAAGAAAAACGCTCGAAACGAGCGCTTCTAGCCTCAAAACGCGCTAGGATCCGCACATGTGGAGGAAGTGCAACGGGCACTCTTCATTCTCAAGCGCCGATGACCAATGATGCTCGCAACCCTTCCACGCCCTTGCTGACTTAGCAATAGGCCCAGACAAGCGCAGCCACGTGACCCGGCGGAAGAAAAACGCTCGGAACGAGCACTTCCACCCCAGAACGCGCTAGGATCCGCACATGTGCAGGAAGTGCAGCGGGCGCTCTTCATTCTCAAGCGCCGATGACCAATGATGCTCGCAACCCTTCCATGCACTTGCTGGCTTGGCAATAGGCCCAGACAAGCGTGGCCACGTGACCCGATGGAAGAAAAGCGCTCATTGGGAGCGCTTTTAGCCTCAAAACGCGCTAGGATCCGCACATGTGCAGGAAGTGCAGCGAACGCTCTTCATTCTCAAGCGCCGATGACCAATGATGCTCGCAACCCTTCCACGCCCTTGCTGGCTTGGCAATAGGCCCAGACAAGCGCAGCCACATGACCAGGTGGAAGAAAAACGCTTGGAACAAGCGCTTCTAGCCTCAAAACGCGCTAGGATCCGCACATGTGCAGGAAGTGCAGCGAGCGCTCTTCATTCTCAAGCGCCGATGACCAATGATGCTCGCAACCCTTCCACGCCCTTGCTGGCTTGGCAATAGGCCCAGACAATCGCAGCCACGTGACCCGGTGGAAGAAAAACGCTCATTGCGAGCGCTTCTAGCCTCAAAACGCGTTAGGATCCGCACATGTGGAGGAAGTGCAGCGGGCGCTCTTCATTCACAAGCGCCGATCACCAATGATGCTCGCAACCCTTCTACGCCCTTGCTGGCTTGGCAATGGGCCCAGAAAAGCACAACCACATGACCCGG